TGTAACGGAGGTTGGTGGCTTATTTGAGGCAAAATGATTGTTTGGATGAGTTGCTTTTGAAACTGACTTGTAACAAAAAGCAACTTATTTTCGGACGCCCCCAGCTCCAGCTTTTCCACCGTTCATAATGCATTTTACCGTTACCAGGGCAATTAATGGGTATTATTTCTCTCACCTATCATTTTCACCCAAGCCGAAGCCTCAGAACACTCGACCCTCAACACTCGACCGAGCTCTCTTCCTCTGCATTCGGCCTTGGAGATCACTCTCGGCACTCTCTCGCCTTCTCCCGTGGGTCTCCGTCCGTCGCTCTCTCCGGCGCCTCTCCGTCCGTCGCTCTCTCCGGCGTCTCCGTCTGTCGCTCTCTCCGGCGTCTCCGTCCGTGGATCTCGGCGGCTGTTCTCCCTCCATCACTGTTGCGACAGATCTGTGTCATCCTTCCTTACCATCACCGACGTGTGTGCGCAAGGAATCGCGGCTGTCTTCCTCCGCCGGTCAAGGTACCATGGTTGCCTTTCTGTTATTTTCCTGTTCGACTGCAAATCCTCCGTTCTCCTTGTCGGTGTTAACCGTGGCTGAAGGAGGCGGGTGATTTTTTTTTTTCCCTTTCTCCTCTGGTTGTAGCTGCTGTTGTGTGTGCAAAGAATCATGTCCTGTGTTTTTTTCCCCTTCTCCGCGCACGTTTTGACCGAAGTGAACCAGTGGGTTGTGCACCTTTCCCGGTGTGCCCCTGTCGAAGTGAACCAGTTTCTGATCTGTGGATTAATATTTGCTAGGATATGTGCAATTTTTGATCTCCAGCAAACATATGCTTCGGTCAAAATAGATATGTGGATATATTTAGCTAGGATATGTGCAATTTCTGATCTCCAGTGCAAACATATGCTTCGGTCAAAATAGATATGTGGATATATTTAGCTAGGATATGTCCAATTTCTGATCTCCAGTGCAAACATATGCTTCGGTCAAAATAGATATGTGGATATATTTAGCTAGAATATGTTCAATTTCTGATCTCAAGTGCAAACATATGCTTCGGTCAAAATAGATATGTGGATATATTTAGGTAGGATATGTCCAATTTCTGATCTCCAATCTTTACGTGCAAACATATGCTTCGGTCAAAATAGATATGTGGATATATTTAGCTAGGATATGTGGATGTATTCCAGCTTGGTTGAAGCTTTTGATTCACACGGTATATTTGGAATGTGGATATATTTAGCATGTATGAACAATCTGAATATTGGAAAAAGAAATACTGCCTGATTATATTGAGAGTTTGGCAAATCTATTGTGTTTTGTGATTCTGTGTTTCTGTGTTTTTTGCTTGAATTAAGGCACTTTTGGTGATAAATTGATTTACATAATATGTGGGTTTATACTGCTTCATTATACTGTTTGATTCTTGACTAATTGTGGGTTTGATATATATGTAATTTCAACAAGAACTATGAGTAACGATAAAGGCAAAGCACATTGGGACGTGAGCACCACAGGTGTTTTTCTCAAAATATGTGTTGACCAGATTTATGGCAAACTGCGTCAAGGATCTTCATTTACAAAACAAGGTTGGGACAACATTCACAAAACTTTCAATGAAAAGACAGGGAGAGGATATGAAAAAAAGCAGCTGAAAAATAGGTTAGATAATTTGAGAAAAGAGTGGAAGACATTTGATAAACTAATTGCTAAGGAGACCGGTATAGGGTGGGACCCTGAAAGGAATACAGTGGTGGCATCTGATGAGTGATGGGAGAGGAAATTACGGGTATGAACTAGCTTGTGTTAATTTAGAAGCAGTATTATACTTTTGGAACATATTTAACTTTGGTTTACTTTTGACTTTGCAGGAAAATCCAGCATATGAAAAGTTTAGGCACTATGGGTTAAGGTTTCGCACTGAATTGGAAACTATATTCAAGGACACTATGGCATCAGGAGATGATATGTCGGCCCCATCTTGGACCGGGCCTGAGCCACAGAGGGGTGATCAGCCAAATGACTACCAACCAACAATGGATTGGCAAGAAGGTTTAGGGGATTGGCAAGAAGGTTCAGGGGATAGTGAAGACGACACTGGGCGCCGTGCAGGAGTTTCGGACTATTTGGATGGCATCAATTTAACTGCAAACACATCGAACACTGCACCCACTGGACCTAGTGCTTCAGGGAGTCAAGGGAAGAGGAAGAGAGGTGAAGGGTTGGACAAGTACAAGAAGCAAAAGATGCCAGCGACAAGAAGAATAGCAGATTCAGTAAGTTCGATTGAGAAGGCTTCAATTAGTACAGCAGAGGCAATAAAAAAATCTGCAACAGTGATAACACTACTGAGCTTACTGCTGATCTACTGAGTATGCCTGAAATTGTCAATGACTTACAACTTTGTGTGACATGTTGTAATCTGCTGCTAACAAGACATTCAGGGACATATATGCTGGTTTGAGAGAAAATCGGGAGGTATTAGTAGCTTGGTTGAAGCACAATGCTGCAAACCCCCCGCCATATGCTGCACCGAAGAACCCCCGCCATAGCTTGGTTGAGTTGTGCCTAGTGACTTGTTATGATTTCTGTTTATCTATCATAATGTATTTGGTTATTGTGTGTCATGACGATATGTTTAATGGTTGTGTTTAATGACTCTGTGTAATGTTGTGTTTTATGACTATGTTTAATGTTGTGTTTCATGACTATGTTTAATTATTATGTTATAGTTTAATAGCTATTTATCACTTATCTTTTCTCTCTCTCTCTCTTTTTTGTGAAAATGTTACTCACATTTAGTATTTAACTACTCACAGGTAACATAATCCATGTCTGATTCAACGGCGGGTTGGGACGAGGGTTGGGGCGAGGGTTGGGATGAGGGTTGGGACGACGAACGGTCTCAATTACTTCCTGCTTTACATGAACACACAACACAGGTATCACAGCTAAGTGTGTTAATGGGTCAGTATGTGACACCTTTTCTATGCAAACAGCCATGTAGAACTAGTGAACAAACGGGTTATTTATGGGTTCAAGAACTTTTGCATGGGCATGAAGGACGGTCTAAAGAAATGTTTCGAATGGAAATAGAGACATTCCATCGGTTATGTTCTAAATTGGTTGAACATGGGTTGCAAAATTCTAAGTACATAGGTGTCCATGAATCTGTTGCCATGTTCTTGAATACAATTGCGCATGGTCAGTGTAATAGGATGATTCAAGAAAGGTTTCAGCGTTCAGGAGAAACTGTTAGTCGACATTTTCATAGAGTGTTGGATGCTTGCCTCAATTTATCTCGAGAAAATATCAAGCCCACTGATCCTACATTCTCCTATTGCCACCCAAAAATAGCAAATGATCCACGATACTTCCCATTTTTTAAGGATGCAATTGGCGCAATTGATGGCACCCACATAAAATGTCAGGTTAGTCAAGCTAGGCAAGACAAATATTTTGGGAGGAAGGGATTCCCGAGTCAGAATGTCATGGCCGTATGCGATTGGGATATGTGCTTCACGTTCGTGTTGGCGGGCTGGGAAGGTAGTGCACATGATGCTCGTGTCTTTCAATTTGCTATTTCAACTCCATCCATGAATTTCCCTCATCCACCTGAAGGTATATTTCTATAAATTTCAAATCAATTATTTTAAAATTAAGCTTCAATTGTATTATTTTCACCTCAACATAATTGAATCATGATTTTCTAGGCAAATTTTATTTGGTTGATGCTGGCTATTCATCACAAGTGGGATATCTTGGCCCGTACAGACGTGAGCGCTATCACCTCCCAGACTTTAATCGTCAGCCAGGATTTAGAAATGAGAATGAGGCCTTCAATTATTATCATTCAAGTTTGAGATGCACTATTGAAAGAACTTTCGGGGTTTGGAAGAATAGGTTTGCAATCTTAAGAGACATGCCCAGATTCAAGTTTCAAGCACAGGTCCGCATAGTTTGTGCAACAATGGCTGTCCATAATTTTATCAGGCAAAGTTCTCCAACTGATGACCGCTTTATACAAGCTGAGCGTGGAAGTATAATAGATGAAGACAATAATCATCCATCTGGTGAGGCATCCTCGTCAAGTTTAACATCTGCCGCACAAATGAATCATGTTCGTGACTCAATTAGAGATCAAATTGTGGAAAGCTTACGATCTAATTAGTTATGTGATTTTATTTACTTTAATTAGAGACCAAATGAATTTTAATTTAATTTATGTTTATGTTCGTCCATTATATATATTTAATTAAGTACGATCTAATTACTTATGTAATTTTATTTACTTTAATTAGAGACGGAATGAATTTTAATTTATGTTCATGTTTGTCCATTATATATATTTAATTAATTATCTAAAATGTGTTTTTAAATTTTTTTATCTTATAATCTCACAAATAAACTATTTTTATTTTATCATAATAATTTTAGATATTTTTTAACAATTATCACATTAAAAATATCAAACACTACTATTTAATAAAATATATGTCCTTTTTAGTTATTTTACAACTGAACTAACTTTTTTATTCATCCAAACAACTTTTAACTTTTCCAACTGACTTTTTAAAAGCACCTATCCAAACATACCATAACTGACTTTTACTCTAACTTCAGTTACAAAAGTCAGTTGGACTAGAAGTCAGTTTTGCCCAACGCCAATCCAAACATACCCTCAATCGGACTTATGGTTAGAAATAAGCTGCTTTTGGGCTTGTAAACACCCAACCATATAGGTTCATTGATAAGTTAGTTAAAGCGACATTGTGGAGGACGATGGGAGTATGTTGAGTATAATTTAAAGTAAAAAAAAGAGTAAAAAGTAAAAACGTTCGGTTAAGTGTGCCTGTATGTGGCAAGTTATAGACATATATCACACATTCAATCATTTAAGTTTATTCAGATAGTGACAATAAAAAGTTAATCACATAAAACAGTTAATAAGATATTTAACTTATGTTTAGTAGATGTTAACTAAATTAATTTCTTTAAACGAGCACAATTTAGTTATAAATTTTACAAGTAATAAAGACCAAAATTGGAAATTAAAAGAAAATACAGGCATTAAAAAAATTCCTAAAATTTACTAAGACAAGGCACATATATATGTTTGAATAATTATTTGAGAATCAATGAAAAATAGATATATTGGCTAGCATCTCCAAAGTGGTATGAACCATACAAATGGGCATAGTATAGCTAATTAGACAACGCAAGCATGCGTGCTAGAATTCCCAAAACGGAAGAAAGAAGAAAAGAAATTATAAAAAAAAAAAAAAAGGAACCAAATATACAGATGCGTTATCAAAGAAACCCAAGCTGCTAGCAATGGCATCTGAAACTGAAAATTGAAGTTTGGAACTCGATCCATATATATGAAATGAAATGTTGAGTAAATTAGTGAATCTGGTTGTGTGAGTTGCTGTGGGTCCATGTATTGTCTCGCATGCATATTGTTCTGCATGCTCGGTCCTTTTTTAACTTGTGACCCCAAGTTATTTCTTCTTCACAACGAACATGCATATATATGTATGCAGAAAAATTACAATGGATTTCAAAAAGACAAAAAATATTATAGTAAGTCTTGATGACAAATAAGCACTTGTCACTTATTATCTTGAAACTTATCATCAAAAGCTGATTTGTTGTTGTAAGAAAATAGGCTAACCCACCCTTGGTGGATTGGACCCAAATTCATTAAGCTTTGGAGTTCTAATGTAAATAATAAAATATTTGGGTCAAGAACTATAATTTACCTTCTTTTAATTTAAAATGGTTAAATAACCGTGGGGATAAATTCAAAACAAAGGCAGTTTTTTTCTTTCTTTGATGTAAACCGTCCGAGGATCATTTTTTTTGAGTAAGTTTTGGCATTAGGTCCTTGAGTCTCCACGCTCTACTCTCTGTTCTTCTTCTCCCTCCAGTGCATTCGCTGTGAGCATACAGCCTGACTCCATTACTATGAACGGACTTCCGCGCGTGGCTATTTGAATCTGAGATCATCTTATACTTTACGTACGCTCGAATTCATCAGTGGTATCAGAACCAGGTTTATTTTTCCTGTTAGTGTCATTTTGTGGCTTGCATTTCATATGCTTCCAGTGTTCTTTTTTTTTCTGTTTTTCGATTCTGAGTATCTAGTGATTTGCTTCAATAAATATTATGCAAATCCTCAATTTTACTTTTAGTATGATAGTTTTTGTGTCTTATATTTGTAATTAGACATGTTGGGTTGGTTCTCTGCCTCTATGAAAATCATTTCACGCAGTAATCTTTTTTCAACCGTTGGTTTCTCAATTTTGGGTTTGTTTAAAATCAAGTTTTTAGGCTTCAAAACCTATCCCATTGTGTAGAGGATGAAAAAAGAAAGAAAACGATATAAAGTGCGCGAAAAACGGACACCGGACGACCAAGATATAGAAGAGAGAAGTTTTCGGGTCTAACGAGTCCGTCAAACCCGACCCATCGCTCCAGCCGGGTGGGGTTGACCCGACTGGAGGAAGACGATGATGAATAGTGACCAAAACGGTGTCGTTTTGATCACTACCTCAAAAAAAAGGGACCAAAAAATTTTTAAAGGGAACCGATTGGGCCGAAATGGAGCGAGCCTAACCGGTCCAAATACTAAAAAAAAGAAGGTAAAGACATTTTTTTTTTGGTTGGGCAGACATGGACCTAGCCTAAACAAAAAAAAGGAGAGATCTGGTCCATCTTTTTTTTTAAAAAAACGAATTAAAAAAACTTTTTTTACAGAATTACCATATGGAGCGTGCCGCCACGTGGAATGCCATCTGGACACGTGGATACCACCACCTGACAGTTGGTGGCACGTGGAGGCTGCCGGAACAGCGTGTGTCGCTGGTGTCAGGCTTCATGGCTGTGCGTGTACTACACGCGCCGACAGGGCGAGTGGGGCTTGGAATTTTTCCTATTTTCTCAGATTTTATGCTTCTTGGGGTGCGTGTAGGCGCATGGAAACTTTTTTCGAGGTGTGGTTTGTCTCTAAAAATCCCTAAAATCAAGATCTTCATTTTGATATATAATTGGCTAATTTTTGAGACAATTAAGGATCTGTTTGTGAGTATTTTCAGTGTATTTTCTGGTATTTTCATGCGGAAATAAATTCTAGAATATCCAAAATAATTTAAATTATTTTGTTCTAGGTAAAAATGAAGCAAGAGGCTTCTAGTAGCACTGAAAATATTAAAGATGGTTCATTGGAATACTCATACATGGATGATGGAGTTCCAGAATATAAACCAGATGATGAGGATTCTGAGGAGGACTCAAAAGAGGATCCTCAAGAAGACCCGGAGGAGTTAATGGATTCTGGACCTGAGTCAGAATCTTTATTTCCTATTGAACCCCTCCGTACCGAGCCTCACTTGGTCTTTAACGATTCACTAGATCTTCCCAATAAACCGAAGTTGAGGAAGGAGAAGAGGTGAATCAACCCTGTACCCTTGCTTTAGCTATAAGTATAGTTGAAAGAGATGCAGCCAGACTGACAAATATAAAAGGCATCAATGGCGTGCTCGCCAGCTATGTCCGTTACATGACTGATAAAAAGAATACCAAATTCTACCTTAAAGTCATAATGGAGTACATAAGAGCAATAAAGGTTAGAGGCGGACCTAAAGGAAAACCCATAAGGAAATTTTATTGGATTTGGGCTATAGATTTAGTATCATCCTTTATGACCAAAACACACAAACTTAGGAAGCTGAGGAAAGCAATGCTTGATTACCTTTATGTTCATATCAAATGATGTAATATTTGTATTCACTTTATTAGTGTTTGTTATATTAAGTTTCTGGTTTCATGTGTTGTAAACAAACTAAGTATGTTATTTCATTTAATGAAATTACTTAAATTATTGTTATATGATTATTTTGTGAATAATATATGTATGCTTTTTATAAGTGTGAGCTTTTAGAAGATAAGACTTCTAAAAGTCACAAAAGTACTTATATAGAATTCTCGATAGGACATAATGATTATTGCCTGTATCTGTTTGATAGGAGGTACAAACGTATGCTCTTGATCATGGATCTTGCAGTGTCATTACTTTCTGATCAAGGATGATATAAGTACAAGACATTGTATACTTCGCTGTGCTATATAACTGAAATGTTCTATAGTACGTCTCTCTTTTAGAGAGAACATAGAATAATGTGGGATAAATTTGTCATAGAACTGAAAATGGCAACCAAGAACATAATTGCTGAGCTTAACAAAGGGGAAAAGCTTAATAGGGACAACTAGGACATATGGCACCGAAAGGTCGAACCTTTAACCACTACAATGGTCGAACCTGAAGTTGGGAATACGGCCCAACATAGGAGAGACCAAGAGGCTTACCTAGTTTGGAAGAAGAAAAATAGCATAGCAAGAATCATGCTTCTGAGTGCCATGGTTGATGACATAATGTGCAAGTTTGAGATGCACAAAACTGCACAAGCTAGTGGATAGCGTTGAAGGACAAGTTTGGTGGTACTTCTACCACTAAGTTTAGGAGGTTAACGATTAAGTTCGATACCTACAAACTCAAGCCAAACAATCCTATGAAGTAACATTTGAGAGAGATGGCCAACATGATCAGAGAACTTAAAGAAGATGGACATGTCCTGTCTGATGAACAGCAAGTGCAGGCTGTTATCAGATCGCTCCCTGCTAGCTGGGAGCATATGAAGGTTAATCTGACCCATAAGGAAAACATCGTTACTTTTAACGATGTAGCCAAGCACTTGGAGCTAGAGGATGAACGCTTAGAGGCTTACAAGACCTTTGGACAAGCTTATTACACTGAGGATGCTGGTACTTCCCAATCAAGGCCCGATTCTAAGAAGGGCAAGAAGTTTCAAAAGAAAGGAAAGAAGAGTGGTCCTCAATCCAAAAAGGGAAAGAAGCAATTCAAGAAGGGAAAGAAAGGTGGGAAGAAGAAGTTAGACTTGAAGAAGGTCAAATGCTTCGCCTGCCAGAGAATGGGCCATTTCGCATGTGACTGTTCAAAACAGACTGAGAGCGAAAAGGTATTAGTGAATTATGTGAATTCACATGTTTTATATGTTTCTAGTATTGTTTTTCTAACAGAACCTGTTTCTTCTTCTTGGATTATAGACTCAGGCTCCACAGACCATGTAACCAGGGATTGAGGACCTTTATCGAGTACCGTCGATTGCTGTATCAAAGCAAGTGGCTTTACATTGGAAACAACATGAGGATCGAGGTTAAAGGTTTGGACACCTGCAAATTTACTTTGCATGGTGGGAAGACCTTGATACTCCATTATGTACTTTATGCTCCCAATATCCTACGAAACTTGGTTTCTATGTTATGCCTTGTAGAATTTGGGTTTGATGTAAACTTTCATGGTAAAGTTGCAGACATTTTAAGCAACTCAGTTCTTTATGGTTCAACTTTCTTATTTAAAAAGTTCTTTGTTTTGAATATTGTTGGTGATTTTAATAGTAATAAATGCTTTGCTATTTCTTCGAACAATGTTGACATAAACACCTGGCATGCTAGACTAGGACATATTAATCAAAATAGAATGATTAAATTAGCCAAAGAAGGATTGTTAGGTGCCATTCCAAATATGGAAATATCACTATGTGAGAATTGTCTAGCTGGTAAGGCAACAAGAAAGCCTTTCGGTAAGGGAACAAGAGCTGAAAATCTATTGCAATTAATCCATTCTGATATCTGCGGTCCAATAAGTGTGAGGGCGAGACATGGAGCTTGGTATTTTATTACCTTTATTGATGATTTTTCATGATATAGTCATGTCTATTTGATCTCGCATAAGTCTGAAGCTCTTGAGTGCTTTAGACGATACATAAATGAGGTAGAGAATCAAATGGACAATAAAATTAAAGCATTACGCACTGATCGAGATCGTGAATATTTATCTGAACAATTCAAACAGTTCTGTGAAGAAAAAGGGATAATTAGACAACTGACTATTCCTGGCACTCCACAACAAAATGGAGTTGCTGAAAGAAGAAACAGAACTCTTCTAGACATGGTTAGGTCTATGATGTCTCAAGCAAACCTGCCAATTTCGTATTGGGGTGATGCTTTGTTGATGGTGACCTTCATACTTAACCATATACCCTCAAAATCAGTCGCTTCCACACCCTACGAGTTATGGACAAAACGCAAACCAGACCTAAGCATCTTGAGGCCCTGGGGGTCAACGGCGTATATCCATGATACTTCTCATAAGCATGGGAAGTTGGGTCTCAGAGGAAATAAATGTATCTTTATAAGGTACTCTGAACAATCAAATGGATATGTTTTCATAGGTGAAAACGAAGATAGAACGGTGATTAAAATAGAATCAAGGGATGTAACATTCATTGAGACTAAATTTCCTAATGGAGGAGATGTTGACCGTACTGTTTCTCTTTATGAGACACAGGAACAAGACAATGCAGAACAAATTGACAAACCAGAATCGTCTAGGTGTGTCAATCTAAGTGGGAGCAAAGAAAGGTCAACACCAAGACCTGAACAAAGAAAGAAAAATAAGCAAATAGCTCCCGTCAGAAGGAGTAACAGGAAAGTATTCCCAAAAGATGTTTTCAAATTGAAGGCGAATCTTTTTTAGTTACTCTAAGAGGGGATGATGAGCTCCGTTCTGTACAAGAAGCCTTGTCAAATCCTGCCAAGGATGAATGGATGAAAGCTATGGAAGAAGAAATAGACTCAATGAAAAGAAACCAAGTTTGGGTGTTAGTTGATCTTCTAAAAGGACGTAAAGCCATTAGGAACAAGTGGGTTCTCAAGATTAAAAGAAAAGTGGATGGATCAATTTACAAATATAAGGCTTGATTAGTGGCAAAGGGGTACACACAACAGGAAGGCATAGATTATGAAGATACGTTCTCACCTATTGTGTGTTTCAACTCTATTGGACTTATTCTGGCAATAGTAAACAGTTTAGACCTCGAATTACATCAGATGGATGTAAAAATCGCATTCCTAAATGGTGATTTGGATGAAAAAATCTATATGGAACAACCATTAGTTTTCATAAAAAAAGGAAAGGAAAATAAAGTTTGTATGCTCAAAAGGTCCATTTATGGATTGAAACAATCATCCAGACAGTGATATTTGAGGTTTCACAAGGTAATAACCTCATATGACTTCCAGATGATAGAGGAAGATCACTGCGTTTACATTAAGCAGTTTGAGGGTAATTTTGTCATATTATCCTTATACGTAGACGATATACTATTAGCCGAAAATAGTCTAGATTCGGTGGTGGCTATTAAAGAATGGCTTTCGTTGAATTTTGAAATGAAAGATATGGGTGAAGCAAAGTATATACTTGGAGTTAAGATCACTCAAAATGAATCCTCTCTCTTTCACAAGAGAATTACATCAACAAGATTCTTGAGCAATTCAACATGAAAGACTGCAATCCCCGTGAGTACCCCGGTTGCTACTGGAGTGGTCCTGAGTCTTGACATGTGTCCCAAAATCGAGTTTGACAAAAAGAAGATGGAAAGAGTTCCATATGCTAGTACTATTGGTAGTCTGATGTACGCAATGATGTGTATAAGACTAGACATCTGTTATGCAGTGGGACTGGTAAGCAAATTTCAATCTAACCCCTGTGAAAAGTATTGGAAAGCAATGAAGAGGATCTTGAGATACTTAAAGGGCACTTCTAATTATGCACTGTGCTACAAAGGAAGCGACCTGTACCTTGTTGGGTACTTCGATACTGATGTAGGCAAAGATGAAGAAGAACAAAGGTCAACTTCAGGTTATACCTTCTTGCTCAACAATGGCGCCATATGTTGGAGTAGCAAGAAGCAAACGTGCATTGCCTTACATTCAATGGAAGCTGAGTTTGTGGCATGCACCGCAACAGTGCAAGAGGCTTTATGGCTGAAGAGATTTATAGAACACCTTGGATTTGGAAACAAGAGTACCAATCTGGTGATGGTACACTGTGACAATATTGCAGCCATAGCCTATATTAAAGATCCTAAGCATCACAGCAAAACCAAGCACATTGATATCAAGTATAATTTTGTTAGAGATTATATAGCACAAAAGATTGTTATTGTACAATACATTTCAACCAAGTGTATGGTGGCAGATCCTCTGACAAAGCCAATAGGCGAAAAAGTTTTTAAAAAACATGTGCAAGCCCTTGGCATACGTAAAGTGTAAATTGTAAACCTCATTAATGAAATTATATTTTTCTATTATTACTTTATGTGTCTGTCCAAAAGTATACAATGTCTAGTATGTCGTACAGGTTAAAAAGGTTAGCTCTCTCACACGGGCAACCACCTTTGACACTCAGGTGGAGTGAGCAAATATGAGACATTTGTGTTCACTAGTAAAGCAGCAAAGAATGCTAATATGGTAGGGAAGAAACACAAACTTTATGTCGCCTTAACTAAAGTGTAGCAAGTCAAGATGAGATCCATGTTGACAAAGTTGCATTGAAGTTTGGAATCCCACTTCCATAATACCTATAGCCAAATAACAAACTCTTCAACGTTGACGTCATAGCAATGAGTAGAGTTGAAGAATTTGGATTTAGATACTAAACGTGTCTGGACTTAAGTTTGGACGGTGTTAATGATAAGTCCAAATCGACATACGCTCTTATAGTAAAAGAGTAACACCGTAGCATGTGTTTCATACCACATATACTAGGAGAACCCTAAAAGGGAAGCAAGTGAAAAATCCCTGCTTCATTGCTGTGTGAGTCCCAAGGAGGGATTATCCTCCTATTAGTGTCCTTTGACTTTGACAATATCATGAAGATATGTTTCAGTGACGGCTACTTTGGCATGTGTCCTATGGTCATGATTGATGCGATCTAAGGTAATATGCTAAGAAAGCGACTGATTCATATCAAAGTGATATTTGGGCAAAAGGAAGATTAACTGCAATATACACATCTATACTAGTGTCTGTGACATGTCCCTTATAACATTTTGTTGTCATAAGTGTGGACACTAGACATATGAGGAAAGTAATTTGAGTCAAATATTGACTCGAGAGGGATTAGATTTGCCATATAAATGTTTATACAGGTAAATCTAAGACATCTGCGGAATAATTTTAAAATTCAAGCTATACAAAGGAGAGGGTGACTTGTGCTCATCCTATAAAAGAA